AACCGACACTCCCAGCTCCCAGTAACACCAGTAACCGTCGCTCCCAGTAACACCAGTAACCGTCGCTCCCAGTAACACCAGTAACCGTCGCTCCCAGTAACACCAGTAACTGTCACTGCCAGCTCCCAGTAACACCAGTAACCATCACTCCCAGTAACACCAGTAACCGTCGCTCCCAGTAACACCAGTAACCATCACTCCCAGTAACACCAGTAACACCAGTAACTGTCACTCCCAGCTCCCACCAAGACCTGCTGTTCCCAGTGCTCCCAGTACAGGTTCACACAGAACTCCCAGTACACAAACAGCTCCTGGTCAGGCTCCCAGCGCTCCCAGTACAGCCCTTACCCAGCTCCCAGTACAGCCTTCACCCTTGCCTCCGGCTCCCAGTGCTCCCAGTACAGCCCTTATTCCAGTTCCAGTGCTCCCAGTACAGCCTTACCCCGCTCCCAGCGCTCCCAGTACAGCCCTTCCCCCATTCCCAGTGCTCCCAGTACAGCCCTTACCCTGCTCCCAGTACAGCCTTCACTTTTGCCCCCGGCTCCCGGTGCTCCCAGTCCCTCCCAGTGCTCCCAGTACAGCCCTTACCCCATTCCCAGTGCTCCCAGTACAGCCCTTACCCCGCTCCCAGTGCAGCCTTCACCCTTGCCCCTGGCTCCCGGTGCTCCCAGTCCCTCCCAGTGCTCCCAGTCCCTCCCAGTCCCTCCCAGTGCTCCCACACCCTCCTTATCAGGAGGCCGCGCCCAGCCCAGCCCGGGGCGCCCCGGCGGGGGGGCTGAGGGGGGGCAGGTGAGTTTTGGGGGGTCCCAGGTGGGGTTTTGGGGTTCCCCCATATATGCTGGGGGTCCCAGGTGTGTTTGGGAGTGACCCAGGTGTGTTTTGGGGGGTCCCAGGTGTGTTTGGGGGGGTCCCAGGTGAGTTTTAGGGGGTCCCAGGTGGGGTTTTGGGAGCCTCAGGTATCTTTAGGGGGGTCCCGGGTGTCTTTTGGGGTTCCCCAATATGTTTTGGGGTTCCCAGACGGGTTTTGGGGGGTCCTAGGTGTGTTTTGGGGGTCCCAGCTCTGTTTGTGGGAGGTTCCCAGGTGAGTTTGGGGGGTCCCGGGTGTCTTTTGGGGTTCC